TCATTCTCCTTCAAGGTTCCCTATTCACCTGTCCATAAATGTTAATAACAACAGATCCTCAACTTCTTTCCTCTTGTCCTACTCACTTTTTCTGAGCCATCTCATCCACTTGCTCACACTGAATGAACTGAAAGTCCAATCTATATTTCTAGGTGGGATCTTATACCTATAACACCAGCAACCCCCTGCACATCTCCACCTGAATGCCCCATAGACACCTACGACTCAATACACTGAAAACTTATTGTTTTCCCTCTAAAGTGGCTCCTGCTGCATTACCCTGATGAGAATATGGCGCCATTTTTCTGCTTGCTTCCTCCTCTCCATCATAATTAAATCATGTCAATTCCAAAATCAGACATAGATGCCACAAAAAAAGAAAACTACAGGCCAATATCACTGATGAACATAGATGCAAAAATCCTTAACAAAATTCTAGCAAACAGAATCCAACAACATATTAAAAAAATCATACACCATGACCAAGTGAGCTTTATCCCAGGAATGCAAGGATTCTTTAATATCCACAAATCAATCAATGTAATACACCACATTAACAAATTGAAAGATAAAAACCATATGATTATCTCAATAGATGCAGAGAAAGCCTTCGACAAAATTCAACACCCATTTATGATTAAAACTCTCCAGAAAGCAGGAATAGAAGGAACATACCTCAACATAATAAAAGCTATATATGAGAAACCCACAGCAAGCATTACCCTCAATGGTGAAAAATTGAAAGCATTTCCCCTGAAATCAGGAACAAGACAAGGGTGCCCACTCTCACCACTCCTATTCAACATAGTTTTGGAAGTTTTGGCCATAGCAATCAGAGCAGAAAAAGAAGTAAAAGGAATCCAGATAGGAAAAGAAGAAGTGAAACTCTCGCTGCTTGCAGATGACATGATCCTCTACATAGAAAACCCTAAAGACTCTACCAGAAAATTACTAGAGCTAATCAATGAATACAGTAAAGTGGCAGGATATAAAATTAACACACAGAAATCTCTTGCATTCCTATACACTAACAATGAGAAAACAGAAAGAGAAATTAAGGAAACAATACCATTCACCATTGCAACAAAAAGAATAAAATACTTAAGAGTACATCTACCTAAAGAAACAAAAGACCTATACATAGAAAATTATAAAACACTGATGAAAGAAATCAAAGAGGACACAAACAGATGGAGAAACACACCGTGTTCATGGATTGGAAGAATCAATATTGTCAAAATGGCTATACTACCCAAAGCAATCTATAGATTCAATGCAATCCCTATCAAGCTACCAATGGTATTTTTCACAGAACTAGAACAAATAATTTCACAATTTGTATGGAAATACAAAAAACCTTAAATAGCCAAAGTAATCTTGAGAAAGAAGAATGGAACTGGAGGAATCAACCTGCCTGACTTCAGACTCTACTACAAAGCCACAGTCATCAAGACAGTATGGTATTGGCACAAAGACAGAAATATAGATCAATGGAACAGAATAGAAAGCCCAGAGATAAATCCACGAACCTATGGACAGCTTATCTTTGACAAAGGAGGCAAGGATATACAATGGAAAAAAGACAACCTCTTTAACAAGTGGTGCTGGGAAAACTGGTCAACCACCTGTAAAAGAATGAAACTAGAACACTTTCTAACACCATACACAAAAATAAACTCAAAATGGATTAAAGATCTAAATGTAAGACCAGAAACTATAAAACTCCTAGAGGAGAACATAGGCAAAACACTCTCCGACATGAATCACAGCAGGATCCTCTATGACCCACCTCCCAGAATATTGGAAATAAAAGCAAAAATAAACAAATGGGGCATAATTAAACTTAAAAGCTTTTGCACAACAAAGGAAACTATAATCAAGGTGAAAAGATAGCCCTCAGATTGGGAGAAAATAATAGCAAATGAAGCAACAGACAAAGGATTAATCTCAAAAATATACAAGCAACACCTGCAGCTCCATTCCAGAAAAATAAATGACCTAATCAAAAAATGGGCCAAAGAACTAAACAGACATTTCTCCAAAAAAGACATACTGATGGCTAACAAACACATGAAAAGATGCTCAACATCACTCATTATCAGAGAAATGCAAATCAAAACCACAATGAGGTACCATTACACGCCAGTCAGGATGGCTGCTATCCAAAAGTCTACAAGCAATAAATGTTGTAGAGGGTGTGGAGAAAAGGGAACCCTCTTACACTGTTGGTGGGAATGCAAACTAGTACAGCCACTATGGAAAACAGTGTGGAGATTTCTTAAAAAGCTGGAAATAGAACTGCCATATGACTCAGCAATCCCACTTCTGGGCATACACACTGAGGAAACTAGATCTGAAAGAGACATGTGCACCCCAATGTTCATCGCAGCACTGTTTATAATAGCCAGGACATGGAGGCAGCCTAGATGCCCATAAGCAGACAAATGGATAAGGAAGCTGTGGTACATATACACCATGGAATATTACTCAGCCATTAAAAAGAATTCATTTGAATCAGTTCTAATGAGATGGATGAAACTGGAGCCCATTATACAGAGTGAAGTAAGCCAGAAAGATAAAGACCAATACAGTATACTAATGCATATATATGGAATTTAGAAAGATGGTAACAATAACCCTATATGCAAAACAGAAAAAGAGATACAGATGTATAGAACAGACTTTTGGACTCTGTGGGAGTAGGCGAGAGTGGGATGTTTTGAGAGAACAGCATCGAAACATGTATATTATCAAGGGTGAAACAGATCATCAGCCCAGGTTGGATGCATGAGACAAGTGCTCGTGGCTGGTGCACTGGGAAGACCCAGAGGAATCGGGTAGAGAGGGAGGTGGGAGGGGTCATCGGGATGGGGGATACATGTAAATCCATGGCTGATTCATGTCAATGTATGGCAAAAACCACTACAATATTGTAAAGTAATTAGCCTCCAATTAATAAAAATAAATGGGGAAAAAATAAACAAACACACCCTCCAAAAAAAAATTATAATAGCCTTTAGCGTTAGCTGTTTCTGGACATACTCACTTATTGTTTTTATTAAAGTCATTTCATTTCTTACTTTCCCCAAAATTGCCAGATTTCAGAAGGCAGGGACCCTGCTTTAAGAATTCCAGTGACCCTCAACAAGAGGAAGTTTAATCTAGTGACTTTATATTGGGGCCTAAATTTAGACAGACCAGGCATGTGGGCTCTGAAACACATCGTCTCTGTGAGCAAGCTACCTTTAAAATGAATATCATTATTATGGGAAATAGAGTATATGTGCATGATGTTTTCAATATTGGCAGCCAGAAAGTGTAAAGGGTCTTTGTCAGGCACAGTAATGGATATTCAAGAAATGGTAATAACAGTCATTTTTCACAATGATTTTTTTCTTATTTATACCAGATAACTGTTTGCTGGAAGAAACTGTCTTTAAAAACCAAAGCAAGTAATATCAAGGGTATAAGCAAACATTTTTATCCCTGGGAAAGTAATCTCTCAGGAAATGGTCTTGAGGGAGTCTCTGAATAATCAAGTCGCTGAGATCCACAGTCCTAATAAAACAAAGGCGCTGTCTCCTTCCTCGTAGCTGGAGGGGTTTTGAGCAAACCAATAATTGGAAAAGTGCTCTTCAAAGCAGAATGAGATACAAGATAAATCAGAGATTCTGATCTTTAGGACCAGACTGGGAGGAGAGAGTTCTGAGCCCAAAGCAGACATCTTCAATTCACTATGGTCATTTTCTTTCCCAGGACAGTTGTGGACAAGAGACAGTGGGGTATGGCATTACAGCTCTAAACTAAAGGAAGGTGAGTACGTGTTTGGCACTGGTCAGTCATGTAACACGGTGGTTACCAGTGCAAACGTGAGAGTCAGACTGCCCAAGTTCACCTTCTGGCAGCTACTCAGTAGTTTTAGGGCTGAGTTTTGGGTGAGCTCCTTAACTCAGCTTTCTCATCTGCAAAATGTGGATAATAGTATTGTCACACAGCTCTTAGTACACAGCTTCACATAGTAGCCACTTAAATAAGTGCTAGCTTGAAAAATTATCATTAAACCTAAAGCCACTAGAGACAGGAGATCCTGGAAAAATACGAGCTCTCCTTTATTTGTCAACACTGACCCAGAGATGGGAGCTCTGAGAAGTCACAGTGTCTTCTGCCAGTCAAGGGAAAGTCCCCATTGTCAAACAGAGGTAGGAGAGAGAGGGCACAGAAAATGGACTGACTTAAAGATCTAAAAGACATCTCTTATTTTTGAATGAACTGGAATATGAATATATTTCTGCTGCTTCTAGAAGTGCCAGCGGTCACTCTGGAGGTAAATTCTAGCCTCTTGTTCTCTGGAAGTTCAAGTCACTTAGCTATTAAAGTAGATCCATAGCAAACAGTAAAAACCTTCCTTCCACACTAAAGCTCAAATGTCTTTGTGGATTTCATCCTCAAGAATGTGAGGTGGGTACTGGGGGGGTGGTAGTGGTGTTTCTCTCAGAATGGTTCTCTTTTCTTTCCCCATGGACCACCTTTTCCCCAGGGGAGAATGGCAGCTGAGAACTCTTCAGTGACAGAATTCATCCTCACAGGCTTAACAGACCAGCCAGGACTCCAGATCCCCCTCTTCTTCCTGTTTCTAGGTTTCTACATGGTCACCGTAGTGGGGAACCTGGGCTTGATAACGCTGATTGGGTTGAACTCTCGCCTGCACACCCCCATGTACTTCTTCCTCTTCAACCTCTCCTTCATAGACTTCTGTTACTCCACTACCATCACTCCCAAAATGCTGATGAGTTTTGTCTCAAAGAACACCATCTTGCATGCAGGTTGTTTGACTCAACTGTTTTTCTTCTGCTTCTTTGTCATCTCTGAGTCCTTCGTCCTGTCAGCGATGGCGTACGACCGCTATGTTGCCATCTGTAAGCCACTGGTATACACAGTCACCATGTCTCCTAAGGTCTGTTTACTCCTTTTGTTGGGTGTGTATGTGATGGGGTTTTCAGGGGCTGTGGCCCACACAGGAAGCATAGCAAGTCTGATCTTCTGTGCTGACAACCTCATCAATCATTTCATGTGTGACATTCCTCCTCTCCTTGAGCTAGCTTGCAACAGGTTTTATGTGCACGAACTGGTGGTGTTCATAGTTGTGACCACTGTTATGGGAATTGTCACTGTCACCATCTCCATCTCTTATGCTCTAATCCTCTCCAGCATCCTCCGCATTCACTCCACTGAGGGCAGGTCCAAAGCTTTCAGTACATGCAGCTCCCACATAATTGTGGTTTTCCTTTTCTTTGGTTCTGGGGCTTTTGTGTATCTCAGACCACCTTCTGTTTTGCCCCTTGACCAAGGGAAAGTGTCCTCCCTGTTCTACACCGTTGTGGTGCCCATGTTAAACCCACTGATTTACAGTTTGAGGAACAAGGATGTCAAAGCTGCCCTGAGGAAAACCTTGGGGAAAATTAACTTCTTGAGAAAGGAGTAATATTTGAAGAAAAAGATACAATGCTTTGTTTATTAGCTTGTGTGTGTTTTCAATGAAGGGTGTAAGCTCCGTTTTTTTCCCTCTCTTGTACAGAAAATTTTAAGTCTTTGTGTCTGGATATGCAACTAACACTTTCACTTTCACTTTGGGCTTCCCAGGTGGCACTAGTGGCAAAGAACATACCTGCCAATGCAGGAGACATAAGAGATGCAATAGATCCCCTGGAGGAGGGCATGGCAACCCACTTCAGTATTCTTTTTTTAAAAAAATAATCTATTTATTTTAATTTGAGGCTAATTACTTTACAATATTGTGGTGGGTTTTTGCCATACATTGACATGAATCAGTCACGGGTGCACATGTGTCCCCCCATCTTGATTCCCCCTCCCACACTCCCCATCCCATTCCTCTGGGTTGTCCCAGTACACCGACTTTGAGTGCCATGTTTCATGCATCAAACTTGGACTGGTCATCTATTTCACACATGGTGATATACATGTATCAATGCTATTTTCTCAAATCATCCCTCCCTCGCCTTCTCCCAGAGTCCAAAAGTCTGTTCTTTATATCTTTGTCTTTTTTGCTGTCTCACATATAGGGTCATTGTTACCATCTTTCTAAATTCCATATATATGCATTAATATATTGTATTGGTGTTTTCCTTTCTGACTTACTTCCCTCTGTATAATAAGCTCCAATTTCGTCCACCTCATTAGAACTGACTCAAATGCGTCTTTTTAATGGCTGAGTAACACTCGATTGTGTATATGTACCGCGGCTTTCTTATCCATTCGTCTGCTGATGGATGTCTAGGTTGCTTCCATGTCCTAGCTATCGTAAACAGTGCTGTGATGAACATTAGGGTACGTGTGTCTCTTTCAATTCTGATTTCCTTGGTGTGTATGCCCAGGAGTGGGATTGCTGGGTCATATGGCAGTTCTATTTCCAGTTTTTTAAGGAATCTCCACACTGTTCTCCATAGTGGCTGTACTAGTTTGCATTCCCACCAATAGTGTAAGAGGCCTCCCTTTTCTCCACACCCTCTCCAGCATTTATTGTTTGTAGACTTTTTGTTAGTATCCATTCTGACCAGCATGAGATGATACCTCATTGTGGTTTTGATTTGCATTTCTCTGATAATTCTCACTCCAGTGTTCTTGCCTGGAGAATCCCATGGACAGAGGAGCCTGTTGGGCTGCAGACCACGGGGTTGCAAAGAATTGGACACAACTGAAGTGAGTGAGCACTGAGTGTTTGGTTCAGATCTATTTCACCTGTCCCATGACCCACCCTGAATAGTCTAATATCATCTTATGCATATGCTCTACAATCATAGATCTTTTAATATTGAATGGGTCTTATAAACCATTTAATCTAGTCTCCTCATTTAACAGACTTGGAGACTTAGAAATATTATGTATGTTTTCCAGGGCCACAGAACAGGTGCCACAGCTGGGACTGGAATCCAGGCCTGAATTTCAATGTACTTCATTTTCCTCTGTGCCCTGTGTTCTTGAGTCATTTCCTTGTTGCCCTTGCAGATTTCATTTTGAAAGTATGATATATCAGTATATTAAAATCTGACTGTAGTTACAGTTATTTAATATAAATTCTCAGTATACAAGTTTTGAATATTACATTTTTTCACAAGAGTAGGAAACAAATGCTTGCTAAACTTGATCCTGGCCAAATGACAACAGAATTGTGTTAAAAATGTGGTGCGTGGGAATTAAGCGTGTAGGTCCAAGATAGCAGGTGAAGCATGGTAACTCCTATGGTTATGTGTAGAAGCTGAGGGACCCAGGCTAGTGAATTAGAACTTCTGTTAGTTTGAGGGTTATAAAGATGCTTGATTGGAAAATTTCTTACATTATTTCAAGACTAAGAGAGTCATAATTTAGAGTTATTTAAGGGTTAGTTTGGATATTTAGCTCTGATGGAAAAGTCTGTGGCTCGGGATAGACTACTTAGAATCTGTAAGTTATAAAAGAGGAGTAAATAATTTGGGGATTTAGTTAGTTATCATGGAAGTACTAAGCAGCTGATTATTAGAAGAGGTCATTTCCACAGGATTTTAAGACACTACAGATTGCGCTGATCTTCTCATGCAGTCATGTGTAGGAAGGAGAAAATTCACTTCGACTGTTTTATACACCTAAAACACTGGGTAAAGTGGTACAGAATACATCAGAACACCTTGGGTCTCAATAATTAATTAGTAATAAAGGAAAGTTCTTTGGAAAAGTATTAACATGTTAAATGTTGAAGAGGCATTTTGTCATATGAGCTTTTCTTTGGGAAGGTTCTCTTTCTTTGGGAAAAAGGGAACTTTGAATGTGTGGTTAGTTTGCCGTTTAGATCAAAGTTATAATGGCAAAGTTAGTTTGCCATTTAGATCAGTTATAAAACTGAGAGTGCTGGGGGAAGGTTTTGCTTTACTCAGTATGCAACAGGGAATGAGAATTGAATTCAGGAGAACTTTTGAATGTGTGGTTTATGTGCCTAGCGGATGAGGTGACTAAGACCCTTTCAAAAGATACCAAAGGAAGAAGCATCAATTTGTGAGCCTTGTAATGGAGTTGGTTTTATAATAGTCTGGTAAGCTCAGCTGATAGTTGTGTGACTTTGAGAAAATTACTTAATGTGTTTAAATATTAATTTCTTTGTTTTTAAAAGTGAGATAATGGTCTTGATTTTGTGAGGTTTTGAGAGAATTAAATGCCAGGCACTTAATAAATCTTAGTTCCTTTCCTGCTGGAACTCTTTCATCTAGTTATCAGCACTTCCTTTGCTCTTTGCATGACCTTTTTGCATGAAGCATATCACTTCACCTTTCAAGAACTTCCTCATTCATGAGAAAAATTGACTCTTTTCTAATTTTCATTTTAAAATTATATTTTGTGTGCATGCTTAGTTTTTTAGTTGCGTCCGACTCTTTGCAACTCCCTAGACTGTAGCCTGCCAGACTCCTCTGTCCATGAAGTTTTCCAAGCAAGAATACTGAAGTGGGTTGCTATTTCCTATATTAAATATTATTAAAATATAGTAAAAACATTTTGACCAAGTCATTCTTGCACATGGTAAACAATTAAACAACACAAGTGGAGGTTGTGCAGTGAATATATGTCTGCTTTCTAGTTATTCCATCCCTGAATTCTCCTTAGAAGCAACAGTTGTTGCTATTCCTTATGAATATGTCTATATTCAAACATATATCTTTGTACATTTATATATACAATATACATATATACATATAGGCATATGTACCAGACAAGATGCACCACCACAATGATCTTGTAGATATGTGAGCAACAAATATTCATTGCTGTACACCAGTGAGATTTTCTGAGACTCTTATATAGCAATAGCTAACTGACACACTCCACCATTCAGAGATCAGGAAATGAGGATCTTATCTGGAGTATGACATTTTCTTCTAGTGTGATCATGCTCTGTATGTCATGTTATAAAATAATGTTGGATTTCTCATTATAATGGGAGCATTTACTTATCAATAAATACTTTTGAATCATACTTTCTCAAGGGTTTCATCATGTAAATATGTCATTAAAAAATCTTTATCCTATTGTTAAAAATTAAAATTGTGTCAGGCTCTCCAATGTTTTATTATTATAAATAATGCTATAATTATTAGTTTGTGTTAAAATTTTGTCTAGATTTCTGATTATTTCCTCAGGAGAGACAATGGAATATTTCTCGGCCATTACAAATAATGAAATAATGCCATTTGCAGCAACATTGATGGACCTAGAGATTATCTTACAAGTGAAGCAAGTCAAATTGAAAGATAAATATCACAGGATATCATTTATATGTGGAATCTTAAATATAATACAAATAAATTCACTTACAAAAAGGTAGAGACTCACAGACATACAAACAAACCTATGGTCACCAAGGGGTAAGAGGGGAGGGATAAATTAAGAGTTTGGGATTAGCACACAAAAACTCCTATATTTAAATAGATAAATCAGAAGGTCCTACTATATAGCACAGGGAACTACATTCAATATACTGTAATAAGACATAATCAAGACAAATCTGAGAAAGCCATATTTATGGTTTTCCAAGTGACTCAGCAGTAAAGAACCCACCTGCAATGCAGGAGACACAGGAGATTCGGGTTTAATTCCTGGGTCAGGAAGATCCCCTGGAGAAGGAAATGGAAACCCACATCAGTATTCTTACTCAGAAAATCCTATGAACGGAGGAGCCTGTCAGTCTACAGTCGATAGGTTCACAAAGAGTCGGACAAGACTAAAGCTACTGAGCACACACACAATCTATATTTATCTATACATCTGTCTGAATTACTTTGTTGTACACAAGAAACTAGCACAACATTGTAAATCAACTATACTTCAATAAAAATAAACAGGAAAAATTTCACTCTTAGAACTGCTTTTGTTGTAGCCCATAAGATTTGGTATGTTGTATCTCCATTCAGTTTATCTCAAGATTAAAAAAAATTATTCTTTGACCACTGGTATTTCAGGAGTATGTTGTTTAATTTCCACATATTTGTGAATTTTCTGGCTTTCTTCATGTTAGTGATTTCTAGTTTCATACAAATGTGGATAAAAGGGATGCTTTGTATGATTTCAGTCTTTTAAAATTTCCTAGGGCTTCTTTATGAACTATCATGTGATATATCTTAGAATATGTTCTGTGTGCATTTGACAAGTATTCCACTGCTGTGGGATGGTATATTCTGTAGATGTCTGTTAGGACAATTTAGTCTAAAGCATAGGTCAAGTGTGACGTTTCCTTTTTACTTTTTTGTCTGGGTGATCTATCCATTATTGGCAGTGGGGTGTCATAACCATGTATTCTTTTTGTATTGTTGTCAATGTCTCCCTTCAGATCTGTTAGTATCTGATTAATATATTTAGATGCTTGGATATTTAGTGTACATAATTTATGGTTATTATATTCTCTCTATGAATTATCCCCTTGTCATTATATAATGACAATTTTTT